CCCCCCCCCCCACCAAATAGAGGTGAGAGCAACCCGCATCCGTCCGCATTTCCCATCCTTTTCCCCCATGCTCTTTCCTTTCTAACGTACGCACGCAAGCAAGAACGCATTAACACGCTACTGCAATACAACAATAACATACCTGCACTGTTGTTATCCTCATATAGAACGACTGGATACGATACGATAGAATACCTGTAGATGGCAGCGTTGCAGTCCTCTGCTGGTCATCAGAAACCCCTGACCACCGCTAACGATATCCTTGGATTACCTAATTTTGCTATTGTACGAATCCCTGAAGGTGGCGATATCATCAAACTTTTCAGTTTACTGGTAATTTTTTTGCAAAAAATTTCCTAAAATTTTATATATATGTATATATATATATATTTTTTTTTTTTGGTATGTCTTAGAAAAAGAAAAGAGTCATATTCCACTTTTCGTTGCATTTTGGGTTCATTCTCGCATATCTCCAGAATTTTCTATCGGTATTTTAAAGACGTTCATCTCTCCCTTTTTCTCTGATTATTGAATTCGGTTTTTTCCGGCGATGATCATCACTTCCTAGTTCTGATACGGTCGAAACGCCTTCGTGTTCTCATTTCTGTTTCGAAATACTTCTCCATCAAGTTTAAGGAATTTTCTAGAGATTCCGTTTTATCCCAAGCTGTATTTCATTGTTTGAGCTTTCCTTCTTCCCATTACATAAGTGATGTTTTGTACTTCAGGAGCATGAGGTTGATTAACCGTACATGAAGTTATTAGATCACCTCATCTCATCTTTTCCGTATCTCTTCATTCTTCCTATCCTTATCATTCCTATTGTAAAATAATTGTTTTTGTTCAATTCAGAACCCGTTGGTTCCAGAACGAAGTAGAAATTCGATATTTTGAATTTGATTTAATCAACTTCAAATGATCTTAGTAGTTCTCCTGATCTGGATTTGTCGCTAGTTGTTTCATAGTTTTTACGATCATTGCTTTATGGGAGTTGCGGCTGAGTAGTTTTCGAAATCTTACCCAGCTCGCTCGTATATGTCATTGTATTTCGAGAAATTTTGAAATATTAGGAGGAGTAGAAGAACGTTTGCTATCAATTCATTAGCCATCCTCATGCTTCCAAGTGATAATATAATTTCATAGTTCTGTAAATGTGCAAGTATTAAGTATGAAGTAGGATTAATGATTAACTGTATAAATTCACCAAATCACTTCATCTCGTCTTTTTCATAATCTACACTGTATCGTTACTTGTTATCTAAAAGAATATATTGGTTATCTTGACCTGTAAATTTTCATTTTTCGATTGTAAATTGGCGATGTACTTAGAAAGCGCGGTAAAATAATCGTTTCATTGTTGTTGCTGACATCTAAATCCTATTACATTTATATCACTAAACCAGATTTAATTTAAAAATTAAATTGAACTCATTTCTATTTGTTAGCTGTGTCAAAGCAAAACAGTGTCCAGTCGTCAATCAAATTTGATTAGTCATGTCCGTCAACATATATCGCTTTAGCAGTTCCAGTAGTCATATGGATTAAATAAGTTAAATGCGCATTTGCATATTTATGAGTTAATTGCTTTTCCAGTTAAACAATGGTTTCCCGGAAGTGTCATTTGTAAATGAAATTCGTGAAAATGCATTTCTCCCAGTGCTTAATACAACGACGACTCCTGTTTCTGATCTTACACATTTCTCAAACACTGTAGCTGTGCAGGATTCAGTAATATCCTCAGATGACAATAACTCCCAGTTGCTTATTACTGATGATCATCATATCACTCATCCGTCTCCGGCACCGTCTAGCTCTAATTCCATCCATGGTTTGGCTACTTCAACTGCCATACCGTCACCCATACCGTTCGTTGCTCGACCACGTGGGTCACGGGCGATTGCTAATGATGACCCATCGTTGTATGCTATTTGTCAGCTGTGTCAAAACAAAATAATGTCCAGTCGTCTATCAAATTTGACCAATCATGTCCGTCGACATGCATCGCTCAAACAGTTCCAGTGTGTTTATTGCATCTACACTCATAATGAAATCGAAAAATTGTTAAATTTTAGTCTGAAACAAAAGAAGTTGAAATATTTGTGGTATTCGTCTTCAGTTTCCATCCAAACTTTGTCACCGCCGACGATCGTTCATTTGCGGTACATTGCATTTTCCAACAACAGTCCTTCAAGGTCGCAACCAAATTCAATTTCATAGCGTATGTTAATTTTATTTTGCAAATTTTATTATTTCAATATTGGGAAAAGAAAGAAAAACAAATTAAAATTTCTCCTTATGCCACTTTTTTTCTTTTGCA